TCTTGCTGGATCGTTTTGTTTAATTTTATTGGTTGGCTTGGTGAGGGTGATGGCCATGCCGAAGCTCTCCTCCTTGTCCTTCCTTTTTTGCCTTTCAAAAAAAAAAATTAATAAGGGATAGGGATGACATTAGCCTCCCCCTAGTATATTGCTGTAAAACACAGTCTATTTAATAATTTTGAGTCTCTGTCATGTTTTATCATATGATACAGAATGACATCAATATATTGTTGCAAAATATAGTCTAATTAATGATTTCAAATCCCTATTTGCATTGTCTCATATGATATAATATTTGATTTTTGTTTTTATTACATTGTCCCTGTTATAGGGATTTTCACCAAAAGAGCCAAAATACACCTCATGTATTAACAAAATAGCCATTATTTTTTCAGGTTTTACCAAAATAGCCCATAGGATCACCCCGAGGGACATGTTTGACCATGGGGAGCGATCCACACTATGTTTGACCAAAAAAATATAAAAAAAAATATATTTAAATTAATTTGTGGGGCCCACATGAATCTGATTTAGTAGACAAAACACTGGTTTGGCTTGAGAAGTGGGATCGCCCCTACCTAACCGCGGATTTTCCCCCGGGATGCTCCAGCTAGGGGTGCTCACGGCCCGGGTTGATCGGTTTGGAGCCGTTTTAACAACTCAACCCAATGTTGGCGGTTTGAAAATTTTCAACCCAGCCCAAACAAAAGTTCAACCCAACCCGTTCGGGTTGATCGGGTTGTGTTTAAACAATGTAAAATCACATAAAAATAAAGGAAACTTTCCTTTGAAATACGACCGACCATTCAAGATAATATACAAATTCATCAAATATTTAGATATTACAATAAAAATGTTTAAACCAAATGATAATACATCAATCAACAACAATAGTTTTAGACGTTTCCAACCCCGATGCTTTTCTTGACGTTGAGGTTGGTCATGTCATGATTGTCATCTACAATTCAAAGCTAAAGTTAAGGTCGGGTTCATCGGGTTGTCGGGTTGGTCGGGTTTTTTTGGGCCTGACCCGATTCCAACCCAATAAGGTCGGGTTGGCTAATTTTTTATCGATCATGCATCGGATTACCTAGGGTTTTTTTGGGCCTGACCCGATTCCAACCCAATAAGGTCGGGTTGGCTAATTTTTTATCGATCATGCATCGGGTTACCTCGGGTTGGGTTTTTTTTTAAAAATTCGGGTTGGGTTGGTCGGGTTCATTGGGTTTTTGATCACCCCTAGCTCCAGCCATCAGGTTTGACCACTATTTTGTCTTTTAGTATATAAACTAATTTGACAATTAAATGGTGTTTTAATAAACAATGGACGATTTTGACTAGTTTTTAACTGGTTTAGGACCAAATGTCGTGGTTTTACTCTATAAAATCAAACACTTTTACTCTCACAACCTGTAACTCGTAAACACAATCTACCATCGACCACCACGCATCGACGACCACCGATCATCGTCCACCGTCTGCCACCAACGACCACAGTTTGCTGCCGCCTACCACCGTCCATCTCCGCCACTGACCACAGTTTGCCGCTAACTACCACCGTCTATCTCCGCCACCAACCACAGTTTGCCGTTAACTACCACCGTCCATCTCCGCCACCAACCACCTACTAGACTACCATCATCTCCCGCCACCGACCACCGTGGAACAACCACCTACCACTATGGAACAACCGGTAAAAATTCGCAATATTTTTAATTTAACTTAAAAAACTATTTTTTTGTCAAGTATCTAGTTTAATACTTTATTATATTTTTTCTAATATTAATTTTGTATAGTCTCTAACATTTAATTTTTGAATTTATTTTTGACAGGTGTTCTACCAGTCTTTACTGATTTTGAGGGCCCAGACCTAAATAATTAAAAAAATAAACCAAATATTTTAATGAAATGAGGTTAAACATATTACGAAATACATGTTTCGACCCATGGTTAAATATATCTAACCATTATTCAGACTTCACGTTAATTAATTGGATGGTGCAATGTGAGGACTTCTCTTTCATTTCTGAATCTGAAGAAAATATATTATCGGGTTGAAGGATTCCATTTACGATTCAACAGACATGAGTTCTGTTTGATCACGGGTTTCCGCTTTGGGCCGGATCTTCACTTGTCACATTATATCATACCTAATATTATTACAAGATTGTTTGGTAACAAACATGATAATATTAAAGTCGAGCATTTTAGAAATAAATTGATCGACTTAAATAATAAAAATAAATCAGACGTTGATGTGGTGCGTGTTTGCCTCGTAATCATGCTCCATACGGTGTTTTTGGGACGAAAAAAGAACCACAATATCCAACACTGGATTTTGCATCTGGTTGAAAATTCAGATGCCTAAAACCAATACCCGTGGGGTTCGTATATATAGCGTCTAACATATCAATTGCTGAAAAATGTTTTCGAGCGGCAGACACATAAATTGGTTGCCGAATAAGTACACATTATATGGTTTTATATATGTCTTCAAGGTCGGTTATCATTTTTTATAATATTTTATTTACTGATTAATTTACATTTTATCACCATCAATTTTTCGTAACCTACCAGATATGGATTTTGGAGACATTTCTTCGAGCTAACATTTTTTTTCGTTATAGCCCGTCAATCACGAGAGGTATTGGATGGAAACAAAAAAAATGTTGAAATGAGAAGAGTGTTGCGAGTTCACAACTATTAACAAGGTTTAGTTTCATTTATTATAAGTTTAAGATTTGTCAGTTCTATTTTTGTTATTTATGTTTAAAAAATTACATTGATTTATATATTTTTGAACACATTTCACCCCTTGACCTCGTTGGTGATGACAAATTTGGAGGAGTCGACTCAATGGTGGATCAAAAGCAGGGAATTTTTGGCGAATAATTATTATGAACAACCGGACCCTGATGAAGGGATTGGCCACGAATCAGATTATGACGATGACGAGGACGTCCAACCATTGGAAGCACGTCAATCATTTGCAGCGCACACTTCTCATAGAGCACGGTATGAGCCACAACATCGTCATTCATTAGCGGCATATACCGACATCCCCCAATGGCGTGTTGAATTAAACCAATTCAATATTGGGTTCGATCAAAAGTTTGCGTCGGTTACAGACCTTATACACGAAAAATATGGGCTTATCGACACGAGACTTAATATATGGGAGAACGAGGTGCGAAGACCAAGAACTAAGGTTGATCATTCACCATACATGCCTCCGCAAGATGACTATGTAAGTATGTTTAATTTTCTTGATGTTTTAATTTACAAGTTAACAATTATATAAACATTAAATTTATATTGCATTGTGCATACGTGGTATATGGCGCAACAATACTCATCAATGGATGCAGTAAATATGTTTAAGGTTTCAATGTTTTTACGATTATTCTTGTTATGAGAATGGGCGAGATTGAGGAGATCACTTTGGCTAATTAAGTCGGTCTACAATAATCCGAAAATCAAGAAAGAATTTGATGTTAAACCTTCACTGTTTGTGTCGATTAACATGGACGTTTAATTCAATTGTCGTAAAGATCTATGAATCTATTATATATTATAAAAGTGTCCTAAAAACTATGGATGAATATGGTACATTATCAGGTTTTTTCCTAAATACCGTGTATCAACCAACTATACTTGATATCAACTTTTTTTCGATTGGTACATGTTGGTACCATTTTGTACCAACTAAAAATTGAAGTTATAAATTTATTTATATTGACATCTTTATCAACTAGATTTAGATGAACTAAAACAGTTGAGTATTCAAATAACAAGTTGATATGTGTTGTACCACTTATCATTGTATATATAAGCATTCAAATAATCGTCATATAGTACAACCATTCATTAATAATATAATACAAACGGCCATTGAGAAGTGACAACAGACCATGGAGGTGTGGACGAGTTACTAAGGTTGTTAGGGTTGAACGAATGAATTCAATCAAGTACTATTTATCCATCCATATCATAATTTAGCAAAACGAAAATATGAACATTAACCAAAATATGTTGTATTATACTAAACTTTAATTAATAAATAATTTTAAAAAATAAGTCGGTACGGTACGGTATTACCGTGGTACACGACTTCTAATACCACGTATCAACCAAGTTTGGATAGTTGGTATGGTACTACCAACCAATTAGAATTGGTACCAATTAAATTGATACGGTTGATATAAGAATTGGTTGGTTTGTCATGGTACAAAATTGACACCCCTACTAAAAAATAAGTAATTACTAATTTAAACAGATTAGTCACCAACAATAACGGTCCCTAAAAGAAGGATATCTCTAAAGCTTTATAGAAGAAAGAGAAATTATATTTTAATTATTTTTCACCGATAAGAAGCATTGAAATTATATGTTCAAGAGAGAAAAATAAAATTTTATTAAATGTATTAAATATTTTATTAATATAGTTATCGGAAACAACTTATGATTTTTTCATAAAAGTTCTTATCAACTTATTATAAGATAGAATGGTTTAATTTCTTTAAAAACTTCTTATTACCAAAGTTGTTTATACAAACACTCAAATATTTATCATCGATATCACACCGAAATAAGTTTTATCAAATAACATTCTCAATCATCAAATGGTTTAAGGTTTTCGTGGCTAGTGTAGAAATCCTCGTAGGAAATGGTAGATAACCCTACCAGTAGTAATACTTCCATTCTAAAATGGCCTTACGGCATCCCCAAAGGGTGTTTCATGTTTCCGACTCATCTCCGATCTTCCAGCTGTGGATAATCAATGGTTGCCATCGAATACTTTTTGGATTTAGGACACTTGTCCCAATTCGCACCACCGTTTAAACCCCCTAATACTTTCCTAACAAGCGATCACGTTTTGATATACATATTTTTCTTGATTACGAATCAAAGTTTGAATTCCGAAATACGATCATCAAATGGGTGCATCCTCGTCGACGGAAGAAGTTTCACCGGAGCAACGTGAGGCTGAATCATTGGCTGCGTCCACCGGTGCTCTTACTGTGCTTGAGAAAGCCTTTTCAGACCTCTCAGATCCTCAAACTCACGCTGTCTCCATCACTTCTCTACAGGCAAATTCCATTCTCAAACCCTAGTATCTTCAGCTTTTCAGACATTGACGTTATCTAAAGATCTAAAGAGTAAATTTTTAGTAAATCATAAGCATCAGTTATCAGAAACTGATACAAGATAACACGATATTCATAGGCAATTGTTTATACGCTCTTTTTGATTCAGTTATTTTACTAGAGATGCTGTAATCAGTCACAAGCACAAATTCCATTTGAAATTCGATAAAATTCTTAAATCCCATCTTTGGATAACAGTTTAAATTTTGGTTTGCAAGTGATGTTCTTTTATGCGCTACTTATGTATCTGTTTGTTGTTTCCAGAAATGCTTTGAACTATCCATAGATTACCAAAGTTGTGAAGCATCCTTCAAACCAGAAAACTTTCCTGGATTACTGAATCATCTAGGTCATGCAATAGTTGATCAGTTCTTCATAGCAGAAAAGGGTGGTCTGGATTGGGTTGCATTCTTGAATGGCTACACAAACTGCTGTGGGAGGATGCCAACTTCAAGTTCATTAAATAATTTATTGAAGGTGTTTGGATTGGCAATGGTGAAGTCAGGAGCCACAACAGGATTGCAGTTGGAGTCTAGTGAAGCTGATCATAAGATAAATGGATATCTACTGCCAGCTGATCTATTGATTCTTCTTTGGATGTGTTGGGTTATGTCTTGGAGCTCTAAAAATCCAGAGTTATCCAAAGGGAAAGCAAAATTTGGTCTTCCAGATATAAATAATTTAGTGTTATCTGCTGTTTCTTCTTGTGCTGATGGTGCTGCTGACTTAAATATATGGGACTGCAATCTATTTGACTCTAATATACAACTTCCTATAGGGAAGCTTCATGTGTGGGCATTAAGAACTGTGCCTAACCTTCCTGAATGTCTTGTGCAATTCATTCATTCAAGACTTTCCAACTCTTCACCTCAACAGGTACTGCATTCTTTTTAAGCATTTTGGGTTCAATTTCCACTTCTGTAACCAAGATGGTTATAAGGTACTGCTAATAATTATTCCTTTGGTGATTCTAGACTTTCTTTGTGTGTGTTTCTCTTCCGGACGAGTGGGATTTACCGGATCGGTTTGGGTCTGTTTGGTTTGGTGTAGTTTTGTCAAATATTTTATGTGCAGGTTTAGGTTTCGCTTCTTTACATAAGAATTAATAAACGTGTTCTTATTTTCTGTGGAAGACTTGTTTTCTTGAATGGGTACAATGGGTATTTATTAACAATTTTTTATGATGATGCTATGGTTTTGCGGTTTAACATCACCGATTCATGAAGCTACTACAAATTCGTTAATCTTTTTCACTAGTGAGGTCACTGATTGCCCCATTAAATATTTACTGAAATCCCCTTAATCTCCACCTTCATGAAGATGTTCAGCATTCCGTCAATATCAATATGATGTATAATTATTTATCATATTCTTGACATACATTTGTGTTCTAGTAACGCTCCCTTCTATTCAAAATGATGGAATCTGCATACATCTACATGGATAATGAATTACATAGTGGCTGCTTTTGTTGGCTTTAACTAGTATTCCATATTTCTTTTCCAACCTTGAGTTTGTATCTATACGAAATTCTTTTTTCTATTCACTGGAAGGAAGAAGCCACACAAAACACAAAGGTGTAACTAATTATATTCAAAGCTAAAGTTAAGCTGCATGGTACTGATTGACACTGGTTTTCATGAAACATTACTCATTTGCAGCTTTTCTACAGTTCTGGTGTTTTCCTAATAGATTATATATATATACACACACACACACATATATATATATACACGTGTTTGTTATATCACATATTGGTATATCAGATGCGATCTTTCATGGCTAATTGGGAATATTATTGACGGCAGGACAAATTGGAGTCAGCATCCACATCTATCAGTGATAGTCCCTCAACAGCACAATGCAATACTTATCTTCTGACTTCTGGCAGGGCCTGGTCCATTTCCCTTACCCTGAGAAGTACTGCACGTGAAGAGGTTTTGAAAACATGCTTTGCACATCACGATGATGAAGCTAAAGAAAACATACTATATAGGTTTGTGTTCTTATCTATCTCTTTTAGGTATAAAGTAGAATAGTTGACTACTTATATGTTGCTTGAGCTGGATAATGATTTGTTTTATCGAGCAGAAAATAAGATTCTGTAAAATATTAGGGTAATAAGTAATACTAACTTTGATATGTTATTGCTTACCTGAGATGATGTTCGACTTTTAGGCTTGCTAGACTTAACCTGCTAGGATCCCGCATTCCTATTTTGTGTTCAATCTTATGTCATGCTTTGATCAATAAATAAAGTATGTGAGGTCCTAGATTAAGGGGTCGTTTATCAAACACTAACCGGGTAAGTGCTTATTGGGTCACTTATGTTACAGATGAGCATGACGACATAGAATCTTACTTGGGAAGAGGCATGGCAAGGACCGAGAATCTTACCCTGTAAGAGCGGGTGGTGACTTTTACCCGGTTAGCGCTTACCGGGTAAGAGACACTTACCAATAATCTTACTATGTCATTTTGATGGTCTATAATCTTACCTGTAAGGTGAGGGTGGTGACTCTTACCCGATAAGTGCTTATCCAGTCAGCGTTTGGTAAATGGCTCCAAAGTTCTTTTTAAGCATGCACCGATTAGAGAACTTTCAGGAAGAGGATAGTTAGATAGATAGCCATGTAAATGAAGCCAATTAGAGATTGAAAGCATCCGGTAAGGTTTTGTGTATGGTAGAGAAGTCAAGATAGCAAATCTTTTGTGATACTAAAGACCAATAGGCCATGTTGAACAACCATAAAATAGCTTATTTTTTTAGCTTATTAAGAAAAACCCTTTTTTAAGCTAGCTTTTTAGGAAAACTATTTAAAGCCCAGTTTCAAAAACTCCTGGGTTTTTTTCCAAGTATACCCCTTATATTATTCCAATTAATTTTTGAACATGTTTTTCTAATCATTTTACATTGTTATCTAGCTGATATCAACCAACAACTAGCTTTTCAGCAAACGACAGCTAGATTAGTATGCCAAATATAGCCAAACTTTGCATAACTAACATATGAATGGATTACAGTCATTTTCAAATATAAAAGATTGATTTGTTTCAGTCTCTTAACTTTTGCGTTCTTGTAAATATCATGTAGGTCTTCTCTTCATGGCAAAGGTTTAAACAGGCTCTGGTCAAACATTGAAGGGTATAATGGTCCAATACTTGTGCTTATTTCTGCTACTTCAGAAGATCGTAGTTGGATAATTGGTGCACTTACTCACCAGGCTTATGAGAACAAGGATGCATTCTATGGAACATCTGGAAGTCTGTATGCTATAAGTCCTGTTTTTGATCATTTTACATCTTCAGGTGCGTAACAAATTGGGTGGTTTTTTCTTGGTATGTTCTGAAGATAGAAGGATTGAGATTGAGTGAATATTTTTTCAAGCAGGCAAGGAGAAGAACTTTGTCTACAGTCACTTGCATTCCCCTGGTTATGAGCGGAATCCAAAGCCTGTGGGAATTGCTTTTGGAGGATCCACCGGAAACGAGAGAGTTTTTATGGACGAAGATTTCTCCAAGCTTACTGTCCGCCATCATGCATTTGACAAAACCTACCAACCTGGTGCCCTTTTCCCAAATCAGGTACATTCTTGATGTGCACATTGGTTAGGGGCTGTTTGATTTGTTTTCCATTTAGTCCTGTATGTATAAAGCTGTTTGTGTATATTAATCTGTTTGTATAGAACGGGAAGGTTTTTGTTTGGAAGGGTTTTTCTTAGGTGGAAGGAACGTGTTATAATTGGGAGGGAGAGGTTTAGAGAAAACTTGACATCCCGCATAAAAGCCCCCTAAGAAAAAAACTTGACTTCCTAGAAGCTTACCGAATAAGCCACTTTCTATATCATTAAGCCACTACCAAACAGTAATGTATAGCTGACGAAATAAGTTGTGAGTCTAATAAAGCTCATCAAGCTGCTAACTACCTGATAAGCTAGGTATTGAGCTATTGGCTGATAAGCCTCCTGTTGGTTAATAAGATAGTTGCTGGCTGATAAGCCAGCTGGCTATCGACTAAGAAGCTAGTTGTTGACTGATAACTGATGGGATTAATCGAGGTGCGTGCAAGTTTTCCCTAACACCCATGGTTACCAAAAAAAAACCTTCTCCAAGATTGTTGTTCAGTTTCATATGAAATCAATTTGAGTTGTACTTGATGATAGGCACAACCCCTTCCTTGTGTGACCATCGATAGATCTTGTGCTTATCCAGCACGTGAACCTTTCTACAGTAAAAAAATGCAAAAAGTCATTTGGACCTCCTAATAATAGAATACAAATCAGTAGTTTTTTGTGTTTCATGGAGAATATGCATGTTTGTAAACTATACTTCCTTACACTTCACTAATGTTGCCCCACAGGGCCAGTTTTGGCATGTATCGGAATCTGTCGACGCATCTTGCTTGCATTTTGCACAAAATACATGAAAATAGAACATATCTTCGGCTCGTTCCTATTTTGAGAAACCATCTTCCAAAAGCTTCATTGTGGGATCTACAATTGAGATGTGTAGTTAGTACATTTTTTAATTAATTGAATGACAATTTTACCCTTAATGATAAAGTCAAACCTTCTCTCCATATCATTTAGTCTTGAATATTTGTGTTTCATAATTAAGGGCATAGTTGGAGCTTTAGTAGATTTAAGAACATGTCCAACAACTATGCTGAAGTAGAGATTTTGAAGGGTGCTTCAACAACCATGCAAAAATAGAGAAACATATTTGGAGAAATCTCCAAAACTTAATAGAGAGAGAGAGAGAGATTATTTTATTTTATTTTTTTGATTAACCTGGATATCCAACCCGCTATGCGAGCCGACTAATTCCAGGGCGACCACCTGCTTTGCCGATAGCCCGGAGTCACCGCATTTGAACCTCCGTGGCCACAAGGGGATTTTTGTTCCTCCTTAGATTTGAACTTGGGACCTCTTGGTACTTTTGACCTTTGGAGCCAAGCTCAAACCAATCATGCACCACCCTCGTGGTTATACACACTTATTTTTAACAGTAGCATATGTTTCTTTACAGGTTCTAGTAATAGAAGCTTAACCATTAAGTTCTCATTACAGGTTCTAGTAATAGAAGCTTAACCATTAAGTTTTCTTTACAGGTTCTAGTACTAGAAGCTTAACCATTAAGTTTTCTTTACAGGTTCTAGTACTAGAAGCTTAACTATTAAGTTTTTTGTATTTATAGGGTTACTTGGCTACAGAAGCTCAAATATTTGAAGTGGAAGCATGGGGATTAGGAGGGGAAAAGGCAAAGAAAGTTCAAAACTCACTCAAAAAGAGAGAAGAGCTTTTTACTGAACAAAGGAGAAAGGTAAGCTTATGCACACCATTCATTCTCTTGTTTCATTGCATCTAATACCAACTTTCCTCTTCTTCTTTGTAGATTGACTTGAAAACTTTCACGAATTGGGAAGACTCGCCCGAGAAAATGATGATGGATATGGTCTCAAATCCCAATGCCGCTCAGCGGGAAAGAAGATGATCAAATGCGGTTTGAGTGAGACAACGTAACCTTCTCATCGAGTCTTTTATAGTGTACCTTTCAAATAATGTCTTTTGCACATCGACGTAAAGTTCTAAAAATGGCATAAAGTGTGGCGTGGCGTTGAGATCAATTGATCACGGGATAAGCAGCAGCATCGGAATACAATTTGGGCTATATCTATATGTATATATGTAATTCTATGATGAAATAAACATTTTTGTTTGCATTCCGGTCAAACATGAAAGATTCACCTGAAAAAAGTTGAAGCCTAGAAACCTGAGCCTAAGGGGCCGCTCACCTAAATGCTTACCCGGTAAGCGTTTAACTTTATGAGACAACTATAAGTTATTTTATTAGGTAAGATTGTAGTACATCAAAGTGTTACCATATGCAACAATTTACCAGGTAAGCATTTACCCAGGTAAGAGTCGTCACCTTCATTTACCAAGTAAGACTCTCCATCTTTGTCATTGCTCTTACCGGGTAAGATTTTTTACCCTTACCATGTTCATCCGGTAAGGAAAATTACCCAGTAAGAACTTACCGAGTAAGTTTTTAGTAAACGGCCCCTAAGCGTTTGCACATGTCTCGCCAACTTTCTTTTCAAGGCCTGAAAAGCTTGGTTCGGGCCCGAACTGAAAAATTTATTGGGTTTGATTGATTTGATTTACTCGATACATTTCTTCGGAAATTAGGGCTATGAACTAAAACCTAACACAAAAACTACTACAATTCTTGAATTCTCTCGACAACATCGTCATGCTCGTATCGGCTTCTGTAGAATCGCGGACAAATAAACGTCGAACTTCCCCGACCCATTTACCTTCTCTCCCACCACCCATTTATGCTTCTTGTATCCGAAAACATCAATCAAATGTGTCAAATTTCTTCGATTCTCTTCGTTGGAACAAAGGAAGTTGTCCAACCACAACAAACCGCCCGGCCTAAGAATCCTATCGACATCAAACATCAAGAACTCGAGTTTCGATTTCTCTAACGCGTCGTCACCGATACCGAATCCATCTCCGGCATGAACGATGTCGAACACGTTTTCGTAAAACGGAAACCTGTGATCTGAACTCAAGTACAATGGAAACAACCCTCTAGCAGCTATGAATTCACTAGAATGGGCATCCATGTTTGAAGTTGTAGTGACTATAGTCACATTCTTCTCAGCCATTCTAGCAGCAAATGTACCACATCCACCACCAATATCAAACCCAATTCTAATCCCACCATTTCCTCCTAAAGCTAAAACCTCATCAATCAAAAAGTCATTTTTACCCCTGGGTTTCAGAAACCTTCGACTTTCATACCCTTTGACCAAGTCAAAACAGTGCCCATTCAGTTTCTTGCTGTTCAAACTGTGAATCCTTGACAAACACCTTCTTCTTGGTAGAGGCTCACAACCTCTTAAGATCAACTTCTGGGAAAGATTCCAATCATCTGGGCAAACTCCATTGATGTTGTAGTTCATGAATTCAGACAACAAATCGATGGATTTGACACAAGAATGCCCCACAGATGACACCATTTCTGTGATCCCAGTTTTTGAATCTTTACCCAGAGGAAGCTGGTGTCGATTCAAGAAGGATTTGAGTTCTTTTGGGATAGTGGGTGTCGAAAGATCGATGCTTTCGAAGCCAAGAAGGTGGGTTTCGATCTGGGAAAGTTTCTTTTGGGAAGAATCGATTTCTTTGAGGATGAAGAAGACTTGTTCTGAGATCAGAGAGATGGTTTTATGGGTATGATGGTGGTGGTGAGGAAGAAGGTGGTGGTTATGGGGCTTTTGAGCGTATTTGAAGGCATATAAAGCAAAGAGATTTGTGGTAATGACTGAAAAGAGCATGAGAATGTTGGTTGGTGAAGAACAGATTGTGGGTTTCTTGAATCTTGCAGTTTCGTCACCGATTTTCAGAGAAACTGAACCCATTTGTGGTTGGTTTGTTTGTTTTTGTGATGGGTGTTTACTGTTTTAGTGTTGTGTGTGATTTGTGAGGGTGAAAGGAGTAGGTGGAAGTGGAATGGCACGTGGGAAGCAGGAGGATGAGTGAAGTTGAGGGTCTTGGGACAGGGATATGGTGGGACATCCGTAGCATGTGGACGATGATGTGAAACGATTATTTTAAGATGTTAAGTAAAAGGGTATTTACGTAATATAATAAAATATATTTTGATTTTAATATTTTATTTTAGTTTTTATCTTAATCGATATTTAAAATATGATTTTATAAATTTTATATTAATAT